ATATGTATATGTGTGCACAAGTGCCACAGCACATGTATAGAGGTCAGAGGACAACTTGCAGGAATTGATTCTCTCTTTCCACCATATGAGACTCGGGGATAAAATTCAAGTTGTGAGGTTTGGCAGCAAACACCTTTAATGCTGAGTCATCTCACTGGTCCCTAGCTTCCTCTTTAAAAGCTCCCTGATGAGCCAGATGTGGTAGTTCACTCCTATAACCCCAGCACTGATGCTGGAGCCGGAAGACTGCAAAAGTTCCAGCCTGTGCTAGACCTGAGAGCCCTATCTCAAAAAACAAAACATAGCCAGGCATGGCAGGGGCATACTTTTAATCCCAGCACTCAGAAGGCAAAGGCAGGTGGATCTCTGTGAGTCTGAGGACAACCTAGTTTACATAGTGAGTTCTAGGCCAGCCAGGGCTACATGGAGAGACCCTAGAGATGATGATAGATAGATGGATAGATGATAGATAGATGATAGATAGATAGATAGATAGATAGATAGATAGATAGATAGATAGATAAAATTAATAAAACTCCCTGTTGAATTCAAGCTGTTTAGTGTGATACAGGAGTATCCTGATCTGGCTTTACCAAATCTCAGTCTCACATCCCATCTCTCTTGTCTCTTCTCACTCACAGCTAGAAGTGCTTGCTGCAACAAGAGCCCTATTCCTGCCTCTATCACATCTACCTTCTCGTTTCTGGCTTCTTGAACTTCTTATTTGCACTTTCTGCCTGGATTGGTTAGTTTCTCCTAGCTAATTCTTGTCTGGAGAGCTTCAGTTTTCAACTTGACACACCTGGGAAGAGGGAGCCTCAGTTGGGGAATTTCCTATAACAGACTGGCCTAGGGGGATGTTTGTGAGACATCTTCTTGATTGTTGAGTAACAAGAGAGTGCCCAACCCAATGTTGGTGGTGTCACCCCTGAGTGAGTGGTCCTGGGTTATATAAGAAAGCAGACTGAGGCCCAGCATGGTAGCACACACCTTTAATTCCAGCACTCAGGAGGAGGAGGCAGGTGGATCTCTGTGAGTTCAAGGCCAGCCTGGTCTACATAGTGAGTTCCAGGACAGCTGGGTCTACCGGGAGACCCTGTCTCAAAAGACAAAAAGAAAAGAAAGAAAAGAACACACCAGGGGAACAAGCCAGTAAGCATCATTCCTCCATGGTCTGTGCTTCAGTTCCTGCCTCCAAGTTCTTGCATTGGCCTCCCTTGATGAAGGCCTATAAGCCAAATAAATCGTTTCCTCCCCAGGTTGTCTTTAGTCATAGTGTTTTATCACAGCAACAGAAAAGAACAAATACACTACTCTTCCAAGAAGCCTTGATGTGATATACTAAAGAAATGGAATTTTCCTCAAGGTGATGAAAAGCAATGTTCCCTTTGTCACATAGTCTTTTGGTCACATAGTCCTCTGAACGTAATATCATCATTGATCTGAATATATTTCCTTAAGTCTGTTTAAAGTTCTGTCTAAGGTTTAAACTAGGGTTTAAACTTCATGACAACAGAACATTATCTTTTTATCCCAAATATATATAAAACATGGTAGGTTCTCAGTATTTGTTAATGGAATCAAATACTATTTCTCACAGTTACACTTGTGCAAAGTCAATAACAGATGTATATGTGTATATTTATAAATATATAAACTTCTTTAGTCAAAAGTTCAGATTGATGTTTCCTTAAAGATGAGTTAAAGCTGGTTATAGTGGCTAACACTAGTAGGATATGCTGAAAAGAAGAGTTGAGTTAAAGTCCCCAATTGTAGGACAGAGTCATAAATACAGAGAGAGAAAGTGAATTTTTAAAAGCCTTGTTTTCTCTCTCTCTCTCTCTCTCTCTCTCTCTCTCTCTCTCTCTCTCTCTCTCTCCTATGTGTGTATACATCTGTCTCTTTTTCTGTTTGAATTTGACTCTACCCTGCACTTAGGGGTCTTAACTCATCTTTAAAGAAACATTCATGGGTTGGAGAGATGGTCCTCTTGTAGAGGACCTGGGTTTGATTCCCAGCACCCACATGGCAGCTAACAACCATCTATAACTCCAGTTCCAGGGGAATCTGATGCCTTCTTCTGACCTCCTTGGGCATGGCATGACACGGGTGCACTTACACATACATATGCAGGCAATACACTCATACACATAAAATAAAACGATAAATATTTAAAGTTTATTTGAACTCTTAACTGAAGAGAACCCTTGATAGAAAAAAAAGAAGCAAAAAAAAAGACAAAAATGAACTTTAAAATGAAGAAAAATGAATATTTATTTCCAGGGGGAAAGATTACATATTACAGAATCTGCAAATATCCAGAGAAATCTGCAGCAAAAGAAATTCAACTTGGAAAACTGTCTTTGAACTTTATTCCAGTTTATGTGAGATCAGATTTATCTAACAGATTTGTTGAGCATTATTTCCCATTCTCAAACATCAAAATACCTTTTGAAACTATGTGTGTGTGTGTGTGTGTGTGTGTGTGTGTGTGTGTTCATAGGTGTTGGGACAGAACACACACATGTAAGATATTCTCCAATGATAATGGAGTATGAGGCAACCTATGAGGCCTCCTACTTCTATTAATGAGAAGCCCATCTTTTATTTTGTTTTGAAACAGTGTCTCATTGTGTAGTCCAGGTTGGCTTGAACTTATGACATCTCCTGTTTCAACCTCCCAAGTACAGGGAATAAGTAGTTATCACCACACCAGTCCTAGGAATCCTTCATCTTGATTCCATATATGCTTGGTACATATTTTTGCTTTGTTTTGTGTCAGGGTCTCAAGTAGCCAGGACTAGATTTGAACTCCCTATGTAGCTGAAGATGACCTTGAACTCCTGATCACCCAGCCTCTACCTCCAAGTACTGAAATTACAGGCATGTACCACATTGGTTTTTATTTTGTTTTGTTTTTTTCTTTTTTGGTCTTTTTGAAACTGCTCACCTGAATTTGCTATGGAAACAAGACTGGACTTGAATTCACAGAGATCCACCTGCCTCTGCTTCCTGCTTCCAAGTGTGTGAGTGTGTGTGTGTGTGTGTGTAGACAAGATCTTGCTATGTAACCCAGGCTATCCTGGAACTCATAATCCTTCTACCTCAGGCCTCTACAGTACTGGAATTATAGGCATGGACCATTATGTCTGGTTCTACATACATAATTTTGAAAGCCTCATGAAAATTGAAAACACTATCCCCCTGATTTAAAAAAAAAATTTATTTCAACAAGGCAACGGCAGAGTATTGAAGCAAGCATGGGGTTTTTGTTGTTGTTGTTTTTTAGGGGTTTTTTGAATTTATTATTTGGGGGTGGGGAGTTCCACACATGGTGTGGCAGTTAGAGGACAACTTGCAGGGGCTGGTTCTCTCCTTCCACCATGTAGATTCTAAGGATCAAACTCAGATCATCAAGCTTGGCAGCCAGTGCCTTTACCTACTGAGGGCCATCTCACCAGACCTACCTTGTTTCTTGAGATAGACTTTCTCACTGGACTGGAGTTTTCCAAGTACAGGAGCTATCTACCTTGTCTTTTGAGACAGTCTTTCACTGGCCTGGCGTTTACCAAGTAGGCTAGGTTGGCTGGCTGTCAAGCCCCAGAGATCTACCTGTCTTTGCCTCCCTAGCACTGAGATTGGGAAGTTTATGCTATCATCATGCCTGTTTTGTTGTTGCTTGTGTTAAATGATGTGGCTTCTAAGGACTGAATTCAGGTCCTCATACTTACACAGTCAGCACTTTACTGATTGAACCATAGAGTTCACTTTTTTTTTTTTTTTTTTTTTTTTTTTTTTTTTTTACTGTAGCCCCAGCTGGCCTGGAATTCACTATGTAGACCAGGCTGGCCTTGAAGAGTTCACTTTTATTCATTTCTCACCATCCCTAGTTAAGGAAGTGGGATTCATTCTAGCTCCATGTATACATTTTTTAAAATTTGTTTTTACTTTATGTTTCTGAGTGTTTCCCCTGCATGCATGTAAGCACACCTGTGTCATGCAAAGCCCGTAGAGGCCAGAAGAGGCATCAGGTCTCCTGGAACTGGAGTTGTCGGTGGTTGTTAGCCACCATGTGGGTGCTGGGAACCTAAGCATCAGAGGGACTGAGCCATCTTTCCAGTCCCTATGTATCAATTCTATTTTTTTTTCAGTTTTTTAAAAAATTTATTTTATGTCACATAGCAGGTTCCAGGCCAGCTGGAGTTACAGGGAGACCCTGTCTCAAAAAGACAAGAAAAGAAAAAGAAAGAAAAAAATTATTTTATGTGCATGCCTGAGTATATAAAAGTATAGCACATGCATGCTGGTGGTTGTTAGCCACCATGTGAGTTCTGGGAACTGAACCTAGTTCTTCTAGAAGAACAGCAAGTGCTCTTAACTGCTGAGCCATTTCTCCAGCCCCAATCTTTTTTTTTTTAATGTATATTTTTACTGAATTTTTGTGGATTTCATACATTTTAATCATATTTAGACCTCCCTATATGTACCCCACCCCACAGGTGGCCCACAGGATTTCATGCATTCTGTCTTACATGTTAAGGCCTAATGAATCAAGTTTGTGTCCCCAGATAACTCTCAGTGTGAGTTCATTCACTGGAGCCTATCTAGCGTCACTCCTTTAAAGAAGACCAACTCTCCTTCACCCAGCAGTGATCAGATGCCAGTAGTTTCTTGGCTAAGATTGGAGACTCCTGCGCATTTCCCCAGTTGTATACTGTTTTTTATCTGATTGAGTTATAAATTCTTAATTAAACTCCTAAAGCCTTTTAAAGAATTTCCTTTTGGAGCCAGGTATGATGGTGCACACCTTTAGCCCCAGCAATCAGGAGGCAGAGGCAGGCATAGATCTCTGTGAGATCAAAGCCAGCCTGGTCTACATAGCAAGTTCCAGGTCAACTGAGGTCACAGGGAGACACTGTCTCAGAAAAAAAAAAAAAGAAAAAAAGAAAAAAGAATTCCCTCAATTGTTATACCTTTTCTTTTACTATTGCTATGATGCATGTGAAAAAATTTGCTGTTGCTCCCTGTTTATTGCTCTTCAGTTTATCCGGAATCCATGTAAAGAGAAAGATGCAGATCTACCCTAAGGTCCAGCAATAGGGAAAACCTCCAAGAGCCTAATAAGTAGCAGCTTCTAATAAGTCAATGAGGTCCCCACCTACCATAGTCCCTCCCCATGTGCCACTAACCAGTACCTTGGCATGCTAGGAAAACCTCCCCTAAGGTCTTTGCCCTGGGTCCAGAGTCTGTACCCTACCTACATATGGCACCGAGAGTACCTGAAGGCCACATGGCACAGACATCTCTTGTGTTCCAGTACTGAGGACTACAATCTCCTAACTCTTGGCAGTTCCTGAGATCACAAGAAAAGCAGGGTCAGTGTGAAGGCTTGGAGAGAGGCATCCCACACCATATTTTGTGCCCTGCTTATGACATTCTGCCTAAGAGAAACAGGTATGTAATCTGTTGAGGACCAGAGTCTGAGAACAACTTTCTGGCTTTTGGTGTAGCCAATGCAGGAGATCAGGAGCAAGGTAGGCTTAGGTAGAGGCTCTACAGAAAAGAAAAAAGAGGGTCAAGTGTGGCCCAGAGCTGACTTTTAACTCCTCCCACATTACATTCAGGAGTCTGTAGCAGTTAGCCTAAGATTTGAAGCCATGGCCAGTGTCAAGGAAGATGAGTCAAGAAACTGTGCGGTATGTGGGGATCGAGCCACAGGCTATCATTTCCATGCTCTGACTTGTGAGGGCTGCAAGGGTTTCTTCAGGTAAGTACTTTCTCCCCAATTGGAACAACGCCCATATTCCTATCAGTCAGCCTTTAAACACTGGCATATGTCCAAGCTTATACAGCTACAATAATCTTGTAGCTGAATTGAACTACCCTGTGTCTAGCATCCTCCATCTTTCTGACCACAACACTATAAAACTGGTGACATAATAACAAAGAGGGCTAACCATTTTCCCATGGACACAGCCCATCAGTCATGAATATTTATTTTATACAAACTACCTGCAAAATACCAATACTGTAGCACTATACAACTACAGTTCCTGAGTGATCTTATGTCCCCATGAAAATGTTTAAGATATGTTATGCCCAATCAACCTCTGAGGACTTTGTGCACAGCTCCGATTAGCCCGTCATCAGATTTGCAAGTCTTTCAGACCATATCCTTTCAACCTCCTCACAGGTCCACCTGCCTTTTTCACTGAAATGCCAAGCCCTGCATTGTCTCTGACTTTCACAGACGAACAATGAGCAAAAGCATTGGTCCCATCTGTCCATTTGCTGGAAGCTGTGTGGTCAGCAAGGCCCAGAGACGCCACTGCCCAGCCTGTAGATTGCAGAAGTGTCTAAATGCTGGCATGAGAAAAGACAGTGAGTTGACCCCGACCATCCCAGGAATCTGCTGACCACCCTTCTCTGCTTTTCTTTATTCCCAAGAGCACAAGTTCCACATAGCAGAGTAAGCCTTTTGAAACTGATCGGATTATGCCTTTGTTTCCAAAACTTCTTACTGCTCCCCATCTCTCTTAAAGTATATATTATCTCATGGTTTAACTGCTGTACACCCCCTTTCAGAATTTATCTCATGGGACTGGAGAGATGGCTCAGTAGTTAAGAGCACTGGCTGCTCTTGTCAAGGACCACTTAGTCCATAACTCCAGTTCCAGGGGGATCTGACACTGTCTTCTGACCTCCTCAGGCATTGCAGGACACAAGTGCACTTAACATACATGCAGGCAATACACTCATACATATAATAAAAAAAAAAACTTTAAAAGAAAAAAAGAGTTTATCTCCTAACTCCCTTTAATCTATTTTGGCCACTTTGGCCTCAGTGCCATCTTTGAACATACCAAGCACATTCTTCCCCAGGACTTTCCCATTTGCCATTCCCTCTGCCTGAAATGCCCTTCCCTAGGCGTTTAGTTTGCTTTTATTCTCTTCTCTCAAGTATAGTGCCGGTCAGCTAGTAGGTACTCCACAGTTACTAATTGCTTTCTCTGTGCCAAGTAACCATGCTATGCTTCCAACAAATAATGTAACTGGTCTCACACTTGCCCAAGTTCAGTCATCTAAAAACTTGTGATGTCTTCAAAATCAAGCCTGTCTGACTCCCAAACTCTTGCTTTTCCATATCACACTATACTACTTTTCAGTATAGAACAGTGGGAAGGACACTATAGAAGCCCAAAGATCTTGATTTGAGTTCAATCTGTATCATTCATGATTGTGGAAGTGTTACTGGAGTCTACATTTCTGAAAAAAATGAATAGTGACTGCCCTGTCTACTTGAAGGTTATTACAGTCAATGAAATTTAGCCTTGGAACCTTTGATATCACAATGTTATACAAATATAAGATGATGCTGTTAATATTTTTCAATGTTCCCAAGAAGTCAAACATTTTACACCCTTCCCACTTTACTCTCTACCCTTCCCTTCTTTCCCATGGCACACCATTTTCTGCAATAGTACATCACAGATTAAATATGAGGTTGGTGACTATGTGCAGGAATCCCCAGTTACCTAGAGATACTAGTTCAGTCAAGTTCAAGGAAGTTTCAGAAACTTTCCTTTCTTCTTCAGTCCTTTTTTATACAGTGCAGCTGAGGAGCCCTAGCTCAGGGACTGGCAGGAAGGTTCACTCTGCTAGACTCAACAGCTCTATTATCTCTCCTGCCTGACACAGTGATAATGTCAGCAGAAGCCCTGGCATTGCGGCGAGCAAGACAGGCACAGCGACGGGCACAGCAAGCATCCATGCAATTGAGTCAGGAGCAGAAAGACCTGGTCCAGAATCTCCTGGAAGCCCACACTCGCCACATGGGCACCATGTTTGATCAATTTGTGCACTTCAAGGTGAGTACTCACAGAATTTAGGCTGGGAAATGACCAAAAGGGTGCCTAAGGAGGTGTCCTGAAGGGAAGGTCATGTGCCATGCAGGACAGGTCTACAGAACCCCAGCATGGGCAGGCTCCTCAACAAAGAAGCCTTCTAAGATAAGGCCAGTGACGCCTATAGGACAGCCAAGGTCAGGTCCTCTCACTAATGCTCTGGACTCTGCAGCCCCCAGCTTACCTGTTTTTAATACATCATGGGCCTTTGACTCCTCTGTTCCCTGTGCTGCCTCTGCTCGAACACTTTGCAGACATCAACACGTTCATGATACAGCAAATTGTCAAGTTCACCAAGGATCTGCCCCTTTTCCGGTGAGTAGCACCTCCTCATCTTTCAAGAAATAAATGCTTCATAAAGTATTAATACTCCATCACCACAATCACCATTCACTGATTAAATTAACACATCTCTTAGCCTTTGAGTACCAGGTCTCAAATTCTCAGCATCAAGACTATCAATCAGATGTGGACATGTTTTTTTTTTTTTTTTTTTTTTTTTTTTTTTTTTTTGGTCTTTTTGAGACAGGGTTTCCCTGTAGCCGCAGCTGGCCTGGATTCACCATGGAGACCAGGCTGGTCTTGAACTCAGAGATCCGCCTGCCTCTGCCTCCCAAGTGCTGGGACTAAAGGCAAGATCTGGACATGGTGATACATTCTTTTAATCCCAGAACTGAGGAGACAGAGGCAAGAGGATCCATGTGAGAGTGAGTCCAGCCTGGTCTACATAGAAAGTTCCAGGCCAGTTGGGGCTACAGGGAGACCCTATCTCAAACAAAAACAAAAGTGTCAATTAGGCTGGGAGCTCCTTTCCCTTTTTGAAGTTCAGGCTTAAGACTAAAGCACCCTTGTTTCCTGCTCCTCACAGGTCCCTACCCATGGAGGACCAAATTTCCCTTCTCAAAGGAGCAGCTCTGGAAATATTGCACATCATACTCAATACCACTTTCTGTCTCCAAACACAACACTTCTTCTGTGGGCCTCTTTGCTACACAATGGAAGATGGAGTCCATGGTGAGATGGTACTAGCACAGTACAGGGTATGTATCCTAGTGGTATGAGAACTGCAGAGATGACCTGGGGGCTTCTAAACCTAATATCTCCCACAGTAGGATTTCAGAATGAGTTTCTGGAGTCGATCATTCACTTCCATGAGACACTGAAACGACTACAGCTCCAGGAGTCCGAGTATGTGCTCATGGCTGCCATGGCCCTCTTCTCTCCTGGTGAGAATCGTCCAAAGTCCAGAAACTCTGCCCCACCTCCACCTCTACCAGAACTCTCAACCCCTTGAATCCATCCACTCCTGGTCATCTCAAGCCTGCACAGTGGGTCTATACCACCCTCAGACCCTGTGCAATGTGAGACTCCCTGCTCCCATCCCCTGCCACCTTGTCCTTTCCCAACTTCTACTCTCACAGACAGGCCTGGAGTTACCCAGAGAGAAGAGATTGATCAGCTACAAGAGGAGATGGCACTGATTTTGAACAACTACATCAAGGAACAGCAGCAGCCAAGGCCCCAAAGTCGGTAGGTGGAAGGTGGGGGCCTTAGGGTATGTAATGGGGAAGGAAGGGGTCTGAGAAACACTGAGCTCAGGATGAATGCATTTTACTGTTTTTTCCTTTGGAAAACCAGCTACTTGGGGATCTAAACCTTCCCTTGAGCCACCCTCTTACTGATGTTTCATCATCTCACTTTTGCCAGATTTTTTTTTTATTCAGTAGAGATGCAAAGTAGTAGCTCACAGCCTGTATGGAACAGCATTCCTGAGATTGGTGACATCCATCATTCATCATCTCACCTCTCCAACTTTTCCAGACTAAAGCAGATTTTTCAGTCTTATTCATTCTTCCTTTTGGCCCTCTCTTCTCCACTGGGCCAATTCCTTGAATTTTTCATTTCTCCAAAGTTATGGTCAGTCATAGTTTCATGGACAAAGTCAGTCCCTGATTCAATAGTTCATGGCCTGTCCAGGCTCTGAGGTACATGCCATTTTTGTCTTGCTCCTGATAAGTCAGTTTACTAAAAAGGGGGATGCATTATACCATAGAACAACACACCCACCTTCTAGAACTTGCTTTAGAAGGCCAGACCTTGAGATTCTACACACAGTTGAAGTTCTAGCTAAGGCTGAGACCTTCTTTACACTTGGTCTCAGAGCTCTGGTTTCAAGAAAAACTGGACATGATAAAGGAAGACAGTGTCAGATGGGGCCCTCTTGCAGACTTCCCAATTTTTTCAAACTATATTTGTCATACTAGAGCATGATTTTCTCTAATGTGCAGACTTAGCTTCACTCAAGAGACAGTTCTGTGGATCAGGACGTTAGGACAAGACTCCCAGCTGCCTTATTTTCTTCTTCTTTCCCTGGTAATCCTACTTCTTCCTCCAAAGGTTTCTGTATGCAAAGCTGATGAGCCTATTGGCTGAGCTCCGGAGTATTAACAATGCGTACGCAGACCAAATCCAGTATGTCCAAGGACTATCTGCTCTGATGCCACTGCTTAAAGAGATCTGCAGCTGAGACCCTGGCTTGTCTCCTTTCCTAGACCACCTAGGATACACTGGACCAGAAAGGAAAAATTGCTGGGACCAGGGACTGGGCCCAGTAGAAAGGGAGCTCAGTGATTGCACTGAAACACTAAACAATAACTGCCTTTTCATGCGGTCACCAGCAGCAGGGGCGAGGAGAAAGGGTGGGGATGTGGAGGAGTGTGGCCATGGGGCCAAAGTTATTCTCTGGAAACAGAAAAGATGGGGAAGGAGGAAGCCTCGGGGATAAGAGCTAAAGTTCCTTCTGGGGAGTGGGTGGGCTCATTCTTTGGTCTTTCTAAGCCAAAGATTTAGCTCTTTAGCCCTACTTTCCCAGCCTTGGGAGGCTCTGGGATGGAAAAATTAGACGGGGGAAGTGGGATGGGGAATTAATCCCATGCAGATTTTTCTGCTCTGAAGAGGAAGGTTCTAAGAGTTTAATTAAACAGAAAACAAAGAAGAAAATGTGTGTTTTGGGGAGGGGGGTTAGCTAGACATATCCCTTATTCCTTCTCCTTTAGTCCAGAGCCACAGAGCATTTGGAAAATGATGGTGGGGCTGATGGCAGAATTGGGAACCTCAAACCACTGCTTCATCAGTTGACCATGTGGCAGCTCCAGTTCTGAGGAGGGCATGGTTCCTGTCCCCCACTCTGCTCATGGGACCTCAAGGTCATCCAGCAAGGTAGGCTCTGGAGAAGGGCCTAGTTAGTCTCTGGCCCTAGGGCACCTGACTCAGAGGTTCCAACTGCTGTGGAGGCTGGTTCCAGGACCACCTCAGCCCACAGTAATGCTGAAGCCACAATGGAATCTGTTGCGCCAGTGATTAAGGAAGGCTCCAAGGGCTAGGGTGACTGGCAGAGGAGGCATCTTCTTCTCCAGCACAGCACCTACACACCAGTTACTATCCACCAAGCCTGCCAGGGAAAAGAATATTGACCAGATTATTTAATAGGGCTTGGAGTAAAGGAGTCAACAGAAGTTAAGGTAAAGCTTCTGTCTCTCCATACCCTCATCTCTGTCACCACTTCTAAATGCCATAATAACCCTTACCTCTAAACACCATATTGGCCTGGGGCAGAGTCAGATGGTAACCAAAGGAGAAGGTTGTGTCTTGTAGCCTTGTATTTGCTTCAAACTCCACTCCAACCTGAACCTGAGAAACATTGTTAAAGAGGAGAGGAGGGTGAGTCTCATGAATACTAGACAAGTCTGGAACAGGGATCTGCAAAATGAAGGCATGCATGAAAATATATACCAAAGTGGGTAGGAAGACTATGAGGCCAGGAGCCTAGAGAGATCTGGAAGGGTAAAAATTTATGACTGACTTGTCAGGATAGGGGATGAGATCAATAGTCTCACCTGTTCATTTGCCCTGTGGTAATAACTTGCATGGGCCCCACCTGATCCCACATTTAACGTAGCTACCCAGTGTACAGCTGGAAAAAAAAAAAAGTACAGAGGGAGAAGACTCTGTTACTGTAGTAGATACAGGTCAAGAGTCCCAGAAAAACCCAGAATGCTCCATCTTATCACTATTTCACTTTGCCCCATACCCGAGTACTTCCCAGCCAGAGTCAAGATGGCCCCCTCTTCTCCTGGCCGCCGATGATAAACTAGCTCTCCTCCCAGCACTAGCCGATGAGTGAGGCTCTGCAGGAAATGAGCAACCATGATCACTGTGGGGGATCGAGGAGACACAGAGTCAGTAGTAGAGACAAAAGGCTTACCCCTTTACCCTCCAGTTATCTCCACCCTAGCCAGTCCAGAAAGTTCCCTTTTAATCCCCAAACTGCACTAAAGATGAAAAAAGCATAAACATTTGCAAATGGGCAGGCAAGAACCTTGTCCCACCTGATTCCCCAATCAGGTCAGGATTTCCCAGGGTCAGAGTAGCTGTGTAGTCATCACCCCGATACTCCCCATCAAACTGCCATGTCAGGAACTTGGCCTGCTGTGTCTGGGTGGGGAGAGCAAGAAATAAAATATCCTTTCCTCTTTTTATGGTCATTATTGCCTCTGTACCTCCCCATGAGTCCCTCGGGGTAAGATACCCAGGGAGGAGAAAGAAGTGCCTCAGTGGATGGAGGCAGGAACTGTGGGTCACCTGGAAGACAGCCTTAGCTCGGAGCCTCTCTGCCAACAGAAGCAAGACTTGGGCGTTGAGACTGCCACTGCTATCCATATCCCCTACCACAGTGGGGAACACCTGTTAAGGAGTGTAAACAGTAAGGATGAGAAGGGTATGTAGCTTCATTCACCTAAACCTAAACACTCCGAGATTTCATTAGAGTTCACAGCGCCTCCTGGTGGACGCTCAAAGACAAACTCTGGCATCTTTACACAGCAATGTTTCTCTACCCTCTCCCATTCCGAAGTGACAGAGAAGATGGTTGCTGCCGGTTCTTCCCGACAACCCATTTCCTTACTCTCATGACCTAGGTCCACGTAGCCTTTTAGAGAGTTTAACTTAGTTGTGGTGGAGCTCTCACCTCAGTGGGGCTAAGCTGCCTGTCCCCTGCATAGGCTGCATGGAGGTGATAGCCTGGCAAGCCCAGGGCACTCATGTGCACAGTGTGAGCCACCTGAGGAAAGAGGAGACAATAGAAAACATAGCGTTTCTGCTTCATTTCAATCCTTCATCCCATCCTTGATCTGTTTCCCAACCAGGGGGCCTTTAAACCCCCCCCCCAAATATTCCAATATATGCGGAGGATCACTAGATTTAGCAACATATCCCACAGGCAAGGGAGGTAAAGGAGCCCCACATCGTCCCTCATTTGCCCAACATAGCCTGGCTAAGGCTGGAGTAAGAGTGGAGAAGAGGATCCAGGGACAGGCAAGGAGTAGCATGGAGGGGCCAGAGAAGTGGGAGCACCTGGAAATGGCTGCTCAGAACCTTGTTGACAACGAGCTTCACTCCCTCCATCTGTGCTGGGAATACATCTGAAGGGGGTGAGGGGAAGGGAAGGAATAAGCACAGACAAGGAACCCTAACCAAAGAGATAAAGTCCCCTTTCAATCCCATATGAAGCACTGGAGGAAATGACCTCCGCCAGTGACCTGCAAAAAAGTGCTCTACTTTTGGGGGGCACCCGGTCCTCTTTGACCGCTGGATGGCCCAGCTGTGATCTCCCCATTCTGCTCCCATCACTGTATAACAGCATCTATGATCCTCCCATCCTCTGTCCTCTCAGCCTGAGACACCCAAAGGCCAAGTTCTCACCTTTGCATAACCGGTGCATCTCATCAAAGCTCCCAGGGTTGGGCAGAGGTTCCTCTCGACGGGGGCTCCGGCGGGGTATAGTCCCCATCGGTGCCAGGCCCAGTGTGTTCCCCATTTTAGTCCAGAGGACAGGGAGGGGCCAGGGTTAGCCTGGGGATACGCTCTATTGCTCCATCTACCCCTCACGGGCCCCACCCCCCATCATCAGGCTCCCCAGTCTCAGAAACTTCCATATGGTTCAATGCTAGACCTGCAACAGGAAGAGTAGGGGTAGAAAACAGAAATGGGAAAATTGAATCCCAGGCACACTCCCGCTCCATCTTTGATCCTTTCACCCCCACCTGTCACTCCTGGCCTCTCTCCCATTATCTAATCCTAGCCACCACCACAAGCTTCACCTAGCTTCCTAGCTTCTCTGTGTTTCATCCCCACGTCCTAAGTCCAGGCCCGCAATAGAACAGTAGCCCTTACCATCTCAGAACATCCCGCTGCCCCTTTTCCCCCGGCACACCCCGGTCATCTTGATGGGGGCAGCCATCTTGAGTGATGGCAAAACTACGGCTTCACGCTGCATTATTGGCGTGACTCTGAGCGCCATCTTGAAAATGGGCAAGGAAGCTCTCAAAGACCCAACCCTCTCTTAATTTAGCCCCGCCCAATCGATGAAAAAATGCACCTAGCTCTCCCAGTGACCAATAGGAGAGGAAACAAAAGAGTGGCAAACCTGCTGGTCTCCAAGCTTCAACTCCGCGCTGCAGTGGCAAGTGGGAGTTTGTGGGTGTCTCTTTAGAATTGAGTACAAGGCCATACTAAAATCGCCCAGCCTCTTCAATGTCGAGATAAATTTGTTAGCATACTAGATGCTAGAGGGAGCATCTTGTCGCTTGGACCACTGAAGCGCCTTCTGCCGTGTGAGAAAAGTGAAACTAGTCAGAAGGCACATTTCATGAAGAGATGCTGAGGGGAAAATTGTGAAGACCACTGGGGGAGTCCTCACGACCCACTGTATACCTCCAAATGACTGCCACTCACAAGCACAGCTCTCCTCTGGAACACAGAAGCCCTCTTTCACCTCCCTCTGGAGTTCTGCACTTTGCCCTCTTGTTGGAATAGGAATGGACATGAGAGCTTGAGGTAGAGGCACAGGTTGTGAACTGAACTAATTCCTGGAACGGCTGCACTCTGTAGTTAGACCTTCCTTCTTTGAGCTTCCATGCAGAATTGACAAATAAAATCCAGGAATACTACTACAGCCCACAAACTTTCTCTTCTTACCCCAGGGCCAGGGGCAAGCAACTGTGTTACCCTAGTGCTGCTCCACACGAAGACAGCTGGAAATGAACAAGATTTCTTTAAAAATATATATATAATGGTCTCCTAGTTTCAGAGTCTAAACCCCCACTCACCCTCCATATATACATAGATGCACAAGATTTCTAAAAAATATATATATATATATATATATGTTTTAATGTTTATGAGAGTTTTGCCTGCATGCATGCTTGTAAGTATGCCATATCCACGGAGGCCAGAAGAGGGTGTCAAATCTCCTGGAACTGGAATTACAGAACAGTTGTTAGCTACCATGTTGGTGCTAGAAATAGAACCTGGATCTTCTGCAAGAGGGGCAAGTGTTCTTAACCACTGAGCATTCTTTCCAGCCCAGACAAGATTTCTTCCCTCCCTCAGTAGGTCCTACACCTCTACCCACACATCTCTCAGGAATGTCCCAGTGTGGATTCCACCCAAATACCCTAGGCCTAGGAATTATACCTCTGTCCTCCACCATAATTATAGCTGGGACAAGGGCCAGGACCTAACTGATAAGGTGAACAAATGACCAGGCACCTTCAACCTTTATCTGGACAGAAGCCTCCTTACCTCTTTTCCTGGCAGGGATCTCCAGCTGGAAACAGAAGAACAGAAACTATTTTCTGAGTTTGTTTTATTGGGGGTGGGGCATACTCATGGATGAGCACCCAGGAGAGTCATTTTGTGTGCTCATGCCCCCTCCTCCCAGTTTCATTACACATTAACTCAAAAAGGGACAGAGTCAGTTATATTTGTTCTGACCCCGACTTGTATTCCCCTACCCCCTATTCCAGAGAAATAACTAGGAATCCTACTTCTCTGCTACATATAAATCTATCTACCTAGCCCTAGATCCCAAAAGAATACATTTTAATCAGATCTCAGCCACCACTGAAGTTTATATGCCTCCTACTCCAGCCCCAAGAGACTCTTTTGTTTGTTCTTTTCCTCTCCCATTTCTCCAGCTTGTTTACTCCAGCATGCTCTCTGCCCCACTGGACTCTCCATACTCTCTATCACCTGACAGGGGTGGGGAAGTGCATGGATATATAGCCCCTGCCTCCAGTAAGTCTAAGAGGAGACACCAAGGACAGACACTGAACAGGTATGATGAGGGAGCAAGAGATGTGGGCACTATACAAAGAGGAGGCTTTAATTTAGGAAAGGGAAGGAACTAGGTTGAAGTGGGCATCCAGGTGGGAAGATCCCTGGGAGATGCTGAAACTTGTTCAACTTCAGTGTCCTTTCCCACCACCAGTATTGTTTCTAGGCCACATTTTCACTGTTACCACCATGAAGCTGCTTGCAATGATTGTGCTGTTCTTCACCATCTGTAGCCTAGAAGGTGAGTGTGATAATGGAGAAGGGAGGCCAAAGAAAAGATGCTGAGAGCTTGGCTACCCAAGTCTCTTTTGCTCCTGCATACTTGGTAGTCAAGTATGCCAACCAGAGGGTTGAAGAAGATCATTCCTTCTCTAAAGTTTAAAAAACAAAACAAAACAAAAAAAAAACACCCAAACATGTAGTTGGATACTTATTTGGGAAAGGGGCTGAAAGTTAGGGTGGGTCCTGGCAGAGGTATAGCAGGAGACCAGGATTCGTTGCTGGGGATCCAGATGAAAAGAGCATGCATGTGTGTCTGTGTAGGGGCTTTGGTTCGGAGACAGGCACAGGAGCCCAGTCAGGCAGAGACGAGTCTGAAGAGCATGGTTAATCGGTACTTACATACTGTGACTGAGTACGGCAAGGACTTGATGGAGAAGGCCAAGAGCTCTGAGATTGAGACCCAAGCCAAGTAAGTCTCTGGGAAAGGGCTCTAGGGGCTATGGGATCATGGACAGTAGGATGCTGGGAGTTCTCATGGGAATCTGCACTCAGAGATTGGAGTTCTGGAAGATTAAGTTTAAATTAGAGAGTAAAATTCCTCCATTATTCAGAATATCCCATGTGTGTCTCAGACAGATAGGGGCAACAGGAAGTGGACCTTGGACTTCGGTCTCTAGACTCTGTCCCTCTGTCCCATGAAATGTTGCTTCTCTTCTTACAGGCTTTGTTATGCCAGGATCAATCAGGGTCTACAATTTGGAGACCTGGGTCAGCCTGCTCTGACCTCTCACCACCAACAAAGACCCTGTCAGTGACTAGGGTCCTTCATACTAACCTCTGTTCCCTCCTCTATCCAGGGTTTACTTTGAAAAGATGCAGGATCAGCTGACACCCTTGGTCCAGAAAGCTGGAACTGATCTGATGAAGTTCTTCAGCAATTTAATGAAAAGTGAGAAACCACAGCCTGCTGCTAAGTGAGGTGTCCAGACTATTGTCTTTCTACCCTAGCTGGACCCCTAGAACACACACTGGCTGGCCCTAGAGGCCCTCTCCCTACCTACTGCCTGTTTTCTACAATAAATGTGCAATGAGTCAAACTGTGAACCTCATATGTTTGAGTGACTGGGAGAAGTAGCAGAGTCGGGGAGGAATAGGAAGAAGGAAAACGATAAATCTGTTTCTAAAAGAAGAAGTGCTTTGGTATTGGGGGTAAAGAAAAGGCTGAAGAGACAAGTGATGGAAATGATCGCATGGGGGTGCCTGAAATTTGCTCTCAAATCCAAGGACTATCCTATAGGAATGGGTATGTAGCTTTACTGCAGGACATGGACCCATGAAAGGAATAAAGGATTCATAAATGATACCCCTAGACTTGAGGTCATAGAAAATTAGAGTAACCCTCAGAATTTCTCTTTAATCATTCTATAAAAAGAAAAAAAAACTGCTAAAAAATGTGCCCAACTGTGTGACTGTGTGACTCAAGACCCTCTCTTTCCTTTTGAACCAGGAGACTATTGTATTTCCCCATCCTACAATAAAAGACTAAGTTAGGTTCACCCTTCTCCCCTAGCATGCTCTAGTTTCTGCATAAACCTGATTTGGGCCAGTCGTGGTGAGACACATCTTTAATCCCAGCATTCAGCAAGATGGCTCAGTGGCTAAAAGTACTTGCTGCAAAGCCTGACCACCTGAATTTGATCCTTGGGACCCACATGGTAGAGGGAAAAAACTGACTCCTGCAAGTTGTCCTCTAACTTCCACACATGATGCACACCCATACACATACACACACACACACACACATGCACGAGCACATACACTAAATATAATAATTGTAGGAAGGGTGGAGAGATGGCTCAGTGGTTAAGAGCACTGACTGCTCTTGCAAAGGACCTGGGTTCAGTTCCTAGCACCCACATGGTAGGTAACAACCATCTGTAACTCCAGTTCTATGGGATCCGATGCCCTATTCTGACATCCACAGGCACTGTACAACACAGGTGCACTAACATATATGCAGGCAATACACTCATACACATAAAAAAAAGTAAAAAAAAAAAAATCCAAGTTGATTCCCTCTCCAAGAGGCCAACTAATGCCCTTCTCAGAATGTAGCAACTTGGAAGAAAACTTGGCATGCCTAAGGTCTTTGGGGAGCAAGGGATGCGTATTCCCTTTGCCTCACTTTGGCTGCCAAAATGCATGTTAAAAAAAAAAAAAAAAAAGAAAGTAGGAAAAAAAGAAATAAATAAACTTGTGGTTTGGGGCTAATGAGATGGCTCAGTGGGTAAAAGTGCTTGCTTGTACAAGCCTGATGGCCTGAGTTCAATCACTGGAAACCATGGTGGTGTCCTCTGACCTCCACACACATGCTGTGGTAGCCCCCCCAATCACAATAATAATTCATAAATAAAATTTAAGAGCTCTGATTTGGCTGTTCATATTAGTGTGTGCCTATAGTCCCAGCACTTGGGAATCTGAGATGGGAGGATCACTTGCGCTCAGGCGTTTAGGACCAGCGTACACAGCATAATGAGACTCTATCAAGGAGGAAGGAAAGGAGGGAGGGAGGGAAGGAGAGAAGGGCTACAGAGTCTCCCAGTAGCTCCAGCTGGCCTGGAACTCACAGAGCTCTGCCTGCCTCTGCCTCATCGTCCTGAGCACTGGGATTAAAGATGTGTACCACCATGCCCAACTACAGCGCTCCACCTTTTTTTTTTTTTTTTTTTTTTTTTTTTTTTTTTTTTTTTAAAAAAAAAAAAAAAAAAAAAAAAAGAACTCACTATGTAGACCAGGCTGGCCTTGAACTCACAGAGATCCACCTGCCTCTGCCTCCCAAGTGCTGGAGTGCCCTCCACTTTTAAAAACACTACCACACTACCCTAGTTAACATAGCTCATCTTGAAAGCACCTTTCCCCATAGACTGGAGATAGCTCCAATTTCTTCTATATGTCAATCAACTCCCTTTCTCTGGCCTTCAAGACCTTCATCATTTGTGATCAATCTCCTCTCCCTTTTCATTCAATATTTCTTCTTTTCACTGGGCCTGGTGATATAGATCTGATATTTTAGCTACTTGGGAGACTAAAGCAGGACAATCTCAATTTCTGAGCTACAAAGCAAATTCAAGGCCAGCCTGGAAAAACTTAGGATGATCTTGTCTCAAAAAAAAAAAAAAAAAAAAAAAAAACTAGAGAGATATAGCTCAGTGGTAGAGACCTTATCTAGCATGTGTGAAGCCCTAGGTTCAATCCCCAGCACTGAAACAGATAAAATACTTTATTTTCTTATGTAGAAAAATGTGCAAGGACAAAGAGGTCTCAGTTGTTACTTTCAAGGTGACTTTGGACAAGTTAACTCATTTCAGATCCTGAATTTCCTATACAGGTTAGTAAGCAATTTGAAAGTATAAGTCACTGTGCAGTACAAACTATTGCCCAGCACAGGGGATTGCCAGGGGTAAGCTTGCAGACTCTGACCCTTTTTGGAAGAAATGCTGGGTCAAAGACAGAACTTATAGCCCCTTAGGTGGTTTAAATATTTTCAAGCAGTATGTCCTAGCAACTCTGGACACAGGACAGGCACTAACAAGGAATTTCTTGTTATCCATTTCGGGGAGATAACCTCCCATCTGGACCCAATTTGTGCCCTTTGCTTTACCTACCTCTAACCTCTATCAGGTTCTCTTTCTATAGTTATTCCTGCTCCCAAATCCCCTGAAAACTCACTGTTCTCATCAAATCTTCCACTAGGTGTTTCACATGGCCATTGTCATCACATCCCTTTTGCATGTTTAGCTTTTCAGCCATGCTAACTCACACGTGCATATGCTGGATTGGTACTATCTAGATTAGTGACTATTTAAGATTAAACATACAGGTGTCCCCACAAACCAATCTTAGTTCATTTGTCAGATATAAAAAAAAAAAACATATTGGGTACAGAAGTATTTCTTAGGTTCTAATGTCTCCAAATGTCTCTACTGCCAACACAGAATGAGAGGGTAAGGAGTATGCTCTGTGCTCCACTTCCATCCCAGAGCACTGAGAATAAGGGCCTCATCTCTCCTTCTGATACAGGTGGGATTCATCCCTCAACTGAGCAAAGTAGCACTGAAATTCATTACACTGTCCCATGTTCTCAGGACCTGAATTTACCTTACTCAAAACTATATCTTCAAGCTAGGCTTGGTATCGCACACCTTTAATCCCAGCATTCAGGAGGCAGAGGCAAGTAGATTTCTGTGAGTTCAAAGCCAGCCTGGTCTACACAGTGAGTTCCAGGCCAGCTGGTGCTACAGGGAGACCCTGTCTCAAAAAGACTGAAAAAAAATAAAATAAAAAACCAAAAAAAACAAAACAACAACAAAAAACTGTATCTTCAGTATCCTGTATCCAGCCTAATGCTTAGTAGAAGCCAAATAAATATATGATACACAAACAAATGAGTAGTCTAATCTGTGGCATCTTTATTGGGTACTCCCTGTCCATTGTTTAGCAGGAGTTAGGGATCAGGAAAGGAAAAGTAATGGCATAGGAAAATAAGCATCTATGAATAGCATCTGGGGGAGGGGGTTGCTGGTGTGCATTAATTTAGAGCCTAGCATCATTATAGGCACAAGGTCAGCAAGCGTTAACAGCATGGAGGTGGCATGGAGATGCCAACCATGAGGGCTAAAAGAGAATTAGAAGCCAAAGAAGAATGCAACCAAGGACATCTGTTCTAAAGCTATTGAGGTGGTTTCTCATGTTTCAGAGTCTCGTACATCTCCTGATTCCGGGTATTCAGGCCCTGCAGGTAAGAGTCAAAGGGTGATCAGGAACTTGAGCTCATCATAGGGTCCCCAGCCCCCTCACAGACACCCACCCTGGTCAAGGTCACTCAAAATTCCACCCTCTTTTTCTGATCCCTAGGTAGGGAAAGCAGATTCACTTACTGTGTAAATGGCATCTGATTTCTGCAGAGGTGGGAGGAGCAAGGCATTAGAGACTTTAGGGCTCCTTAGAATCTTCTTTCCCACCCAGGGAGTATCTGGGTTAAGGTTAGTGTTAGCTCTTCTAGGCTAGGGACACTCACATGGTTGCTCTGGGACATGAATATACATTTATCCACATAGCTACAAACACACATCAGCATAACATACAACTCTCTCATGTATTCATTGTCACCTCTACTTGATTCTTTATTGTCCAGATATCTTACAGCTCAGCTAGATGGCAGGGTGCTACAACCTGAGGTGAGAGAGGGGCCTCTGAACTACGTGCAGAGTAACACCAAAGAAAAGTGCCCTCGGGGGCTGCGGGGCTCAGACCTGAGACTAAAACTCCAGGAATGTTGAAAGCCTGAAAACTATGACACCCAGGTGTGGGAGAGTCCATACCTCATAGCTGGCTATAGCTGCCTTTCGCACCTGGATCTGGAGTGGGGAAAAGGCAGTTAAGAAGCTGGAGGCCCATCACCTTTCCCTCTAAGCCATAGGAACCCCTTTGATTTCCCTTCCTGCCACCCTTCCGTTTTTCAGCCCAGTTGTCACCCCACCCTGCCTTACCTTGAGTCGACAGTAGAGCAGGGTGAGTACAATACCGTACAAAAACAGGATGGCATCCAGGATATAGCAAAGCTGAGGCTCTCCCAGGGCAGCTGAGGAGACACAGGGTACCCAGGGGATAAGGGGCATGGGGAAAGGGAGGGTTGTTGCTCAGAGGAAGGAAGGGAAAGGGCTCTGGGAGGTAGGACAAGGCCTAGTGGGGAAACTTCTAGGGGAAGAAACTTGAACTCCCTCTCTGCCTCATTTCTCCTACCTTTCCCTTTTATCCCACAGACCAGGAGGAGTAGGCTAGGAAGTATGAAGGGCTCTATTGTGGTGGGACTTAGATGGACTAAGGGTTGAAGACTTCCCTCTCAGCCCCAACCATCCCTTTTCAGTATTGTGGTTCCTCAGGCACCATTGAGCACTTCATCTACCTCATTTGAGTTCACTGGGCTAAGACAAAAACCTCAGCTGCGGGGGGAGGGAGGGGAGAGAAGCAGTGGCAAATTTCAGCAAAGAAACCACAGGAGTGTGTCTCTGCTAAGTCCTGTGACCTGTGGCTGAGGGCTGGACAGGAAGGATGTGAACTGGGGAAGGGAGGGAAGGCAATTACTTGATCGTTGGTCATCTTCTCAGCTTCATTGCTTTTTGCCTCTCAAGGCACTGAATTATACAAAAAACGATGTTTGCTTTTCTAGGCTCTATAGATACCATTGACTCTGCACATGAAGCTGGACAATAACCATAGTTCAAAGGAATGACTACAAACTAAATCTAAAATACAGATTCCTCCTGTTAATACCCTGCCCTGTTAATCATGCTGGGCTTCTGAGAGGGGAAGTTTTGTGCAACTAAAACATCACATAGGGGCATGGTGGCACATGCCTATAATCCCAGCACTTGGGAGGAAGAGGCAGGTGGATTTGGATCACTGTGAGTTCGAGGCCAGCTGAAGCTACGAGGAGACCCTGTCTCAAAACAACAAAAACAATAACAACGAAAATCACATAGATGAGTTTGATGGGTCATGCCTCTAATCCCAGCACTTGTGGGGCTGAGGCAAGAAGAATTCTCCAAGTTTGAGGTCAGCTTGGGCTACACAGTGAGTTTCAGACCAGCTTAGCATATAGAGTGAGATCCTGTCTCAAAAAACAAACAGAAAAAAGCCCAAATCCTCAAAACAACAATCACAGGCACCGAGCATGGTTGGCATACATCTACAATCTCAGCACTTGGGAGACTGAGGCAGTAAGATGGTGAATTTGAGGCAAGCCTGTGCTATGGTGAGGCCCAGCCTCAAAAGATCACACACAGAGTCTGGGCTCTAGAGATTGCTCCCAGCCTTTATCAGGACCAATAGTGTGCATGTTACTAATACAGGTCAACTTAGTAAGATTTATGGTAATTTTATTCTACAACACTGACACACATGATATTGCATAAATCTCAAAACTACCCTAAGAGGGAAAATCAGCATCATCATTTTATGGATGATGATGAAACCCAGGTACTTGGGAAAGCTAAGTAACCCATTCAAGGCCAGAGTTAAGCAACAGAGTTGGAACTCAAGATCCAGGTTTTCTGCCTCCAAAGCCTGAGCTTTCCTTTCTGCCCCTCCTCCCAAGTCATTCTCTTTCAGTTTAACCCCCACCTCCGTAAAAACCAGCTACCTCCAATATTCTTCAGAACTTACTGGGCATAGTGGTATAGTCCTATAATCAGAGCACTTGGGTGGTAGAGGCAGGAGGATCAAGAATTCAAGGTTAACCTTAGCTACATAGTGAGTTCCAGGCCCTGACCATCCCTAGAAACACTAATCATGTCGATTTTGACTCCCCTGCCTTACTACCAAGCTCACAGACGGGCCCTTGCCTTCCTAAAGGGGGCTTTGTATAGAACTAGCTAGAGATCAGCTTCCAATAGAGGAGACCAAGATGCATCCCACGAACACAGATCAAGAGAAGTGGAACTTTCCTAGACCAACTCTTCATGCCATACAAACAGCCGTACTCCTGACAAAGTGATTCTTCACATGGGTGCTGGTCAATATGGAAGAAGGTAAGAAAGGGACAGTATAGGTGGCAATGATGGCCAGTGCCTGGGTGGGGGACCCAACAGGGCTAGCTTCACATCTGTCTCCAACCTGCACCCACCTGCTATCGGCTTTCTGTCCCAGATTCAGCCCAATTCATGTTCTAAAATCCCACTATGGAGTCCACCTAACTGACCCTCACCAAACCCTTTCACCTACCTGCTTGTTCGACCAAAAGGAGTAAGAACAAGACCACTGCTGGAATCATCTTGGGCAGGGGGTTGAGGGCCGAGCCAGCGACCAGACGGCGACCAGAAGCGCTGACAGAACTGCGCAGCTGTGTTATGTGACCAGTTCCCTGACCACAGAGTTCCCCCCTTCCTGCCACGCCTTCCCTCACACTTTGGCCCGTTCCCCTTCCTGCACTAGAGACCGGGCGGCTCCCCGGAAGGGCCAACTAGGGGAGCTGGGAGATCTGCCCTCTAAGCCTCAGCCTTTTCAGTGAGCAACCTCCTAGCCCATAGAATGAGACTTTCATGCTTAGCAAAGGCTATCTACATCTGCCATATTTGACTACCCTCCATTTCCCGTTCAAAGATGCATATATGATAAATTGCCCCTTGAGATTCCCTTAGACCCCCACCAAAGCCCTTTCTTTCCTACCTGAAACTTTATACCCAGTTTTTTCTTGAGTTTACCCAGTATATATCGATACTAAGAAGGTTTGGGCAAGAGGAACTGAGGGGAAAGGGGAAATGGGGAATGGAGAAGTAGAAAGGGCAAGAGTCAGCAAGGGGGTGGAGAGGAGCAGGGAAAATTGCCAAGACCTAAGTCATAGAAATACAAAGTGAAAGACAGTAAGACACCAAGAAAGACATACCAGAAGTTTGAGCATAGGGGCCGCAAAGCAGCTAATTTATTATAATTTCTCCTTTTCTAGTACATGCACAGAAAGCCTGTATGGCTAAGTCAACATGTACATTTACATCTATACACACAGAGACACACACAGCCTCATTTCCAGTGAGGGACAGGCTTTCCAGAAGAAGCTGACAAGCAAGGGAGATTAAGTGCTATTCCCTTGCTCACCGATCTACTTCTCCAAACACAATATCTTGGGTACCTAGAAGGTCAGAGGATAAAAAAGTGACATTAACAGAGGTTCAGAATGCATTATTGTGTCCAAAACACTAAAGCCTTGAGACCATGACATAATCTATCCTGAACAAGGAGTGATCAGTTTCTGTGCCCAGAGTCCTAAACCCTTTGTCTTAGACACCTCTGCTTCATAAAAGGTCTCATACCTATAATGGCAACAACATCCGCCAGCATGTGTCCCTTAGACATCTTGTCCAAACCAGCCTGAGGAGAAGGGGACAGCAACAGTGTTAGCACAGGTTTGCAGAGTGGAAGAATTCACATAAACCTCATCCAAGCCAGACAGAGGAGCTCATGTCTATAATCCTGGCTAAGGATTTGAGAATCATGAGTTCAAGACCATCCTGCCTCCCTATATATAGGGAGATCTACGCTAGGATATGCTACATAGCAAAACCCTAAAAAAAAAGCAAAATTAAGCCAGGTGTAATAGCATATGCCTTTGATCCCAGCACTTAGGAGGCAGAGGCAGGTAGATCTCTGAGACAGAGGCTACCCTGGTCTACATAGAGTTCTAGGCCAGCTGTGAACACAGGGAGACCATGTCTTAAACAAAACAAAACACCCCATAAAACCCCAACAACAACAACAACAAAACAAAATTAGCCAAGTGTGGGCGTGCATGCCTTTAATCCTAACACTTGGGAGGCAGAGGCAGACGGATCTCTGTGAGACTGAGGTCAGCCTTGTCTACATAGTGAACTCCAGGCCAGTCAGGGATAAATGGTGAAACCCTGACTCAAAAATCAAAAATCCAATCAACAAACAAACAAATCTTCAACCAAGGTCAATAAATTATGAGATCAATGTATTGCAGTTAGAATCACTGGGATTGGTTCTTACCAGGTGAGCAAAACCAGGAGCCTTGATCTTACATCGATAAGGGCGGCTGCTGCCATCAGACACCAGATATACCCCAAACTCTCCCTGTCCAAGGAAGAAGGTTGAATGCCCATTAATAGTAATAACATTCTTCTCTGCCAACAAAACCTCTCTGTTTCTCTTCTCTGTCACTAATGAGCGAGCACTTTCTTAGATGTCTACTTCCAGCCACCTACTCCACAGTGTTTTCCTTCCTCTCCCTCCTCACCTTAGGAGCCTCAATGGCAGTGTATGTGGCTCCTGGAGGAACTTGGTAGCCCTCGGTGTACAGCTTAAAGTGATGAATAAGTGATTCCATGGAGGTCTGAGGGGAGGAAAAAGGGAGCATCAGGAAACCAGATCCAACTCTCTCCCGAGGTCTTCCCCTTGCACAGAGAGTAATCTCTCTCCTCAGGGAGACTAAGAGTCCATGTGTAAGTCAGAAAGTAGAAACAGAATTAAACAGAGCTGTGAGAGGTTTAGAATCTTACACAGTAAATTTTTTGAAAAAGGAAAATTGAAAGGTAGGATTAATCAAAGGATATTCCTCCCTGGCCACTGGTCCCTTTCCAATTCCCCACCTTCCTTCCCTTTCCCTGTAGCCAACCTTCATCTCTGCTCGTTTAGGTGGAGATACTTTGGCATCATCAACCTTGATCTCCCCAGGAGGCATCTTGTTTAGACACTGTGCGATGATTCGAAGGGACTGGCGCATCTCCTCCACCCGACACAGGTACCTGAAGTGGATGAAACAGACTCAGAACAAAAGACAAGCAGGCAGAGTAGAGGTAGAAGGTTGAAAGGATGCCCTTTGGGAGACCTCAAAAGCATTAGGCAAATTTTCCTCACTTTCTCCTAGTACAGAATCTCTGCTTGGCTTGGCTGCCTATATAAACCCTGCAGTATTTCAAGTCTACTGAAGGATTCTATTGAGTCCTTCCCCAAATCCTCTCATTATTTTTTTTAGAACATGGCCTGTAGTTTTTTTTCCTCTTTACCCTCTTAAATATCTTTTGGACTACAGAATAAGGGAGTCAAATGGAAAGACAAACAGAAAGAACAATAGTAGCAAATCTTACTCAGAGTCAGTAAACAGAAATGGGTTTTGAAGCTTAGAATCTAGTGGAAATGGGCTGGATTAGCAGCATTCTAATCTGAGCCACTAATAGGCAAATCCCTAACTTTTCTGCTTCTGCTTTCTCAGGTACAAATACAGTTCAAACTAGTTTTATCTAAGACAGGAATGGTGTAGAGGCAAAAATAAGATGCTACATTATGTGCAATCTAACTTGCTATGGGGCGGGGGTTGCTGCAGGCCCCTGAGAATGCTAAGTACTCTACCACTGAATTTACTCCAGACCAACTTTTGCATATTACACAGGCTCCTCCAGACAGTAGGCAATACAGTAAAGAAGAAATCGGCAAAGAAAAAAGGCAGGGCAAGGAGCTGAGCAAGTACTTGGACCTTACCTATCGTAGCAGTCCCCTTGAGAACCAATAGGAACATCAAACTCAACCTGGTCATAAACGTCATAGGGCTGGGTCTTTCGCAAATCCCACTGGATGCCTGAACCTCGTAGCATCACTCCACTGTAGGATATAATGGGCATAAGGGCCACTCTCCATAAACCAAAAAAGGAGACACAGTCTTCATTAGTCTCCCTTTCCCTCCGCCACTCTGGGTAAGGGACACAAACTCAAGGCATGGCAAAGAGAAAGCCAAACATTCTTGAAACCAAGGCACTGGGCTATACCTCCTGACTCCTACTCTTATCTCTAAGGAAAGAAGTTGTAGTCTTTTACCTGAATCCATAGTTAAGTGCGTCTTCTGCTGATACAACCCCAATGTCCACTGTCCTATTTCGCCAGATCCTATTGTTGGTCAGCATCTGTTGATCGCAAACACTGGTGTATTAATTTGTATTTATTTATTTATTTATTTATCTGTATTTGATAAGATGAAATATTTTTCTCATTGATTTCTATCTTACCTCTTCTACTTCATCAATCCGAAGAGAGAAGTTCTTAGAAAACTCATAAATGTCATCCATAAGCCCAAGGGGTAGGTCCTAGAAGCCAAATGAGATGATGCTGTGTTCAGCAGAGCCTCCATAATGCAGAGACAGCTCAGTATTGCTTCCCACAGGGCTATCAGGTTAGTCTCCATCGCCCACACTGCCCTCCAGTGGTCACAGAAGAAAGAAGACTGGGCAAGAGAGCCACTCACTTGGTGCACACCTCCTGGTCTGATGTAAGCAGCATGCATTCGTGCTCCAGATACTCGTTCATAGAACTCAAACATCTTGATAGAACACACTGGGAATTAGTAACAAAGTCCTAGGCCACCAAGTCCAACAACACTGTAGCTTTCTGACTTCTTATGATATACCCAATCCCTAAATTCCTAAGAATATAATCCACTAAAATATACTTTCTCTCCTTAAATGTTTTCCCTTGCCAGGCATGGTGGTGTATGCCTTTAATCCCAGCACTCCGGAGGCAGAGGTAGGCTGATCTCCGTGAGTTCGAGACCAGCCTGGTCTACATAGTGAGTTCTAGTCCAGCTGGGGCTACAGGGAGACCCTGTCTCAAAAAGACCGAAAAAAAAAAAGGTTTTCCTTCTATCTCCCTTTTTATTTGGCGGGGAGGGGTTAACACAGGGTCTCCCTGTAGCCCCAGCTGGCCTTGCTATACAAACCAGGCTGGCCTGATGTTACAGAGCTCTAACTGCCTCTGCCTCCCGAGTACTGGTATTAAAGGCAGTGCATGTACCATTGCCCAGCTCCTCTCTTTCCTCTCTGTCTGTCTCATTGATAGCCTCTCTACTTCCTGTACTTTCTCTATTCCTATCCTTGCCTCCCTTTTATACCTTCTCTCTTTCTTCAAACATCCAGAAGAAAGGGGTCATGGCACCAATGTCCAGGGCATGTGTAGTCACAGCCATGATATGGTTCAAAATCCGTGTGATTTCTCCAAACAGCACTATGGAGAGGTGAAGACACAAGAGAAGCATGAAGTTGGAAAAATGGCTCACTGGGTAAAGGCACTTGTTGCCAAGCCTGATGACCTGAGTTTGATACCTGAGACCCACATGGTAGGAGAAAACTGACTCCCATAAGCAGTCCACTGACCTCACATGTGTGCCATGACATGCATACACTCACACACTCATCCAGTTCCACACACTGATCCAGTTCCAGGGGATCAAGGCCTTCTGACCTCTGGGTTCCTGCCCACACATGGTACATATAAATTCATACAGGCCCACATCTGTACCCATAATAAATAAATCTTCAGAAAGAGAGAGACCAAGGATTCACCCTAAAGTGCAGTCTG